AACTTTCTGCAGTGAAATGCAGTAAATACAATGCCTGCAGCAAATAGACATTAAAAGGGTGCCTTTTTAAAAAAGATTAATGAACCTTTTATTTCATTCATTTAAAAAATCCACTACTACATAACCCCCCTTTTCCAAGTGTTAAACATGGGGTTGGAAATGTTCTCCTTTGGGGCTGTGTGGCAGCCAGTGACACTGAAACATCACAGAGATAGTGGGAAGAATGAATTCCACTAAATATCACCATGTTCTGGAAGCACACGTGGTGCAGTCGGTCAAAGTGAAACTGAAGAGAGGACAGTGATCCAAAGCAGGCCTGTGAATCTACCAAGGGTTTCTTCAAAAAACACAAGCCGACGCTTCTACGAGTAGAAATCTGTGGGTAGATCTCAAACCTGCTCTATGTGCAACACAGCTCAACCATGGCACATGTAAAGGGTGGGTAAAGATTCCTAAATCACCAAAAAGAGTGCACTGCATTTGATTTGGACTGTAAAATGAAATCTCAGTTTTAATGTATGATTTTGCAGAAGCTGCATTTACTTCTTTTCACTAATGTCAACGCTCAACAATAACAAACTGACGCTGCCTTTCATTAGCTTTTTTTTTTTAAGCATTTAGCTAATGCAGAGAGTAAGTACACATTAGAGCAATTACTAGATTGCAACTGCATGTTGTGTTGCATTATGTTATCTCACTGTATTTAATATTTAATGTTCCTCCTCACTGTGTTTAAAATGTTGCTCTGTCTTTTGTAAAGCCCTTTGAACTGTGTCTGTATGTAAATTCACCTGCTCAGTCATGGTAGGAATTACAGTATACTGAAGGTGGTAACAAAATGTCATAATATAATGCAAAGGGGTATAATGTCATTAAATAACACAAGCAACAAAAATGTGTCTTTGTTCTTAAAGTGCAAGGAAATGCAAGTACAGTCCAGGAGAGTGCTTGTGTCCCTGGGCAGCCATTTCGTGCCCCTGATTACTGTGGTTGCTCAGACACCTCAATTGTCTGGAAGAAACTAAATCAAACAAATGGTTTAAAAGTAGGACCATGCAGCAAACGTGGGCACAGTCAGCTCTCAAAGCCA